CTGACTTTAGCTGTTAACGTTCCCTGTGTGTGTCTTCCACGTTTGTCGCTCGCACACCTCCTGCAACTGTTTTTGGGCAAGTGAAAATTGTTCTTGATTGCTCTCCTTTTAAAAAAATAAAATAAAATAAAATCCCCTTCCTCCTCCTTTTCTTCCTTTGAAAATCGAACTGTCACCACCCTGGTATCCGCTGCAGTCTGAGAATCCCAGCGGCATCCTCGATGGTTGAAAATTTGCCTAAAAAACCCAAGTTAAAAACATCAGCGGGTTTAAAAGTCGCTTCACTGTCAAAGCTGAAGAAAGGAGGAGGAGGAGGCAAGTGGAGCCTTCTTCAGTTCTGGGACCTTTACTCATTTCCCTTAACTGAGCCTTCCCTGGCCCAGATACAGGGGGAGCCTTAGCTCCCGGAATCCCCCCTGCCTCTGCGGCCTTTCCTGACCCTTTCGGAATCGAAAGACCTCCTTTGGGGAAAAGCTGAGCCCTGGCAGTCCAGTTTGCTTTAAAAGCAGTCGTGAGACTTGTGGCAAAGACGATGGCTCGCCTTGGCACAGTTTCACTTCTTCCGGCTGTCAAGGGGTGAATTCTGTCCCGGCTCCCGTTTCTTAGCAGTTGCAAATGTGATTTGAAGATGATGCTGCGTCCCTTGGTCCAGACGTGCTCCGATTAAACCTGGTTTTCCCTTCTTCTTTTTTCCCCCCTCCCCTTTCCGTTGGCTGCGGCCCTTCCTTTTTACAGGCATTGCCACCTGGTGCCCTTCAACCTTTACCAAAGAGGCAAGCACTTGAAAAAAACAACGGTGCCACCACAGTCTTCAGCCCAAGCGTTTTTCACTACCAGCAGGCCCTTGCCAACATGCAGTTGCAACAGCCTGCCTTTATCCCAACAGGTAGGTGCCTTGGCTCGGCCTCTTGGCTCTCCTTTCCATGCACGGGTTGACCCCGCCTCCTCGGGGGCCCCTGGGTGGCTCTCCCAAGAGGCTGCTCTCTGCCCAGCTTTTGCCCAGAGCAGCAGCTGCGCATGACTTCCCTCCCTGCTGTGAGCCTTCTTCGGTTTGCTGGTGCTGCCTGAGCCAGAGGTGTCCAGGGAGGAGGAGGGGGTGGGAGGAGGCCGAAGGGCGGGACTTCCTCTCTCTCCCGCTGCCTTCCAAGAATCTGAGACCTGAGGACAGTTTCCCAGTGGAATTAATTGGGAAACAGCAAGGATTCCATTGGGAAGTGTGGCCGGCCAAGGATGCCACCTTTCTTTTGAATCCCTTGGCCTTCCTCAAGGAGCTTCTTGCATAACTAATCTCTCCTGCCGTGAATAAACATCACAGGCAGGCCTGTTCCTCCCCCCCCCCTGCCCATTTTTGATAGCTGCCCTTCTCTCTCTCCCTCCCTCCCAGCCAGGGAAAGCCTCCCCTGCAGCTGGAAGCCCAAGGTGTGAACTCTGCTCTTCACCAAATATTCAGGTGTTCCACCGGTTTTTTGTGTGTGTGTGTGCAGCTAGCGTATAAAATGTGGCCTGTCAAACCTCTCCAACTGTTAAGATAAAACCTTTGCCAGTGCGCCAACAATGCCAGCCTGGCTAGCAGATGGGGGCACCCACCGTCCCTTCGCCTCCCTTTGGGACGTGTCTCCCACACGCAGCCTGCCTGCAGGATTGCCAGAACGTTTTGTAAGCTTGCAGAATCTGTTCTGAATAGAGCAGGGATTCAGGGAGCGGATTCAAAAGCCAGCCGCTGCGTCAAATCCCAAGCATATGCTTTCCCCCCTTTGGGCCACAGCGCTAACGTTTAAACGGTTGAATTGCTGTCGGATCCGAGTTCAGCGTGGGCATCGCTGTGGGCACTGCCTTGCATAGAGAAACAACCCCCCACCCCACCCCCGAAAAATAATAGCATTACTCAGAATGTGTGCCTGTTAACACACGAACGGCGTCACTAACTAAATATCCCTTCTGTTCATCTTTTCCACGCTTCACTGCATGACGTGCAGGGTCTGTGCTGTGCATGGCACCCGCAGGAAACGTTGGTAGGTTTTTCTCCACCACCTTTTCCTAACACAAACGAGGCCTTTGGATCGGCGGGGAGGTCGCTGGTGGGGAGGGACGGAGGGAAGGAAGGAGGAGAGCGGGAAGGGTGTGTGTGTGTGTGTGTGTGTACACCCAGCAGTGTCCCATGATATGCCTGGCTGAAAATCCATTGTCCCTGTAAAGTCTGAAATGGTTGTGCTCTTCCACATCTCTTAAGAGCGTGGCAAGTGCGAGGATGGAATCAGTGGAGCCGAGCTTAGACGAGTGTTAAAAATCGCCCCTCTTCCCTCGTGGTTTCCCTCCGGCCGTGTTTCCATGGTCCCTTCTCGTCTCTCCTACTTGCCTTGGTCCAACCCTTAAAAGCTGGCACGGTGTCATCAAATCCATTCCACGATCCTTGCCCTTGGACCCTTGCCGACATCTCCGGGTAGCCCAGTCTGATGGGCTATGTAGTGCTGTGATGTCATGCCGTCTCTGATGCGATTCTGGATGGACGACAGCCATCCTGGGTCTTCATCCAGAAAGGAGCAGGAGGCAGGAAGGAGAAACTGGGCTAACAAAGAGCTTGGTGCGTTCCCTTGCCCTTTTGATAATTTAGGATTCTCTGAGATATTTCCACTCCTGTCAAAGTTCGCTCTTATTTCACTTGCTTGACTGGGAAAATATTTGGTGGAGGGGCTGCCTGAGGAGTCAACCTGCAAAAGGATTTATTTCTAGCACTTCTGCTGGTTCTGTAAGCGAGAGCTTTGCTCAAGCCAACCTTTGGAGAACCCGATTCATGAACAGCCGCTGTTTTCTTCATGTCGGTCTGTTTGCTTTTAGTGCAGCCTTTCCCCCCCCCGCCCCCCTTGAGTATTTTGTTTCCCCTTGACCAGGGGTCAGCAATCCATGGCTCTGGAGCCACATGTGGCTCCCTGTCGCCGGTCGGCTCCACAGGTAGATAGGGCTTTCAGATAGGGCAAGTAGAGGAAAAAGGATGCTGCGCTAAGAGGAGACTCTATGGTAGGGGAACCGGACTTCCGGTTGGCTCCAGAATTGAATGGGGGGGCTTCCGGTTAGGACCTTTGTGGCTCTTTGAGTGTTTAAGGTTGCTGCCCTTGACCAGCCTTGATGGGGGAGAACAGAAGTTGACACGGTCAACACAGTGCAAAATTGGGTCGTTGGATGGAGCTTTCCTCCTCCAGACCACATGGGGCATGTGAGTGGATTGAACCCGCAGGGACCAGCCCTTGCTAAAATTATAAACCAGTTCCAGGGGGTTTGGGGAGATTTTTTTGGGGGGGTTGTTATGTCCCTCCAACCCAACCTGGGATAAGCAGTAATTTGGTGAAGGTGAGGTTCCAGGACGCCCAACCTCCTTTTAGAGTGTTAGGCTCGCTTGTGGCGACCTGATCTTTGCTCCTTGGGATAGGACAGGGGTCGGCAGCCTTAAACACTCAAAAGAGCCCCAAAGGTCCTAACCGAAACCCTCATCAATTGTGGAGCCGAGTCACAGCAGAGGGAGGAAAGAGCCACGTGCGTCTCTAAAGCTGCAGGTTGCTGGCCCTTGGGGGGGTAGGAGGTGGGCCTTTCAAGGGTCTACTTGGGTTGTCAGCCAAGGGACCTCCTGGGATCCCAAAAACCAACCCTACCATAGGTGTTCTCCTTCACCCTTCAGACCCCTGCGGGCGAGAGAGAGAGGGGGGGACTCAAGGTTTGAGCTTCGTCCCTCTCAGGACCTCCCTTTCCTTGGTCCCCTCCTCCAACTGCAGCCCTCCTTACGCCTTACCTTAAACAAAACAAAAAACCCACACAGAGACCGAATGCCCCAGGGGTCCATTAAAATCCACAGGCCCCTTATAGTCTTCCCGTTAACTACTTGGCTCCCTGTTATTTTTGGCTCTTTTCTAAAGGTGTTACAGGCATTGGGGTTTTTTTTTCTCCACACCCCCCTCCTATATTCTGCTTCTGGGAGAAATTGGGGTGGGGGCTGCAAGGGGAGGCACCCGTCCCCGTAACCCCATTGGGACAGAACCAGCAGAAGTTGGGCCTGGGGCTTCTGGGGCAGCTGGAAAGAAGCCCAAGGGTGTAAAGGACCCTCCCTCACAAGTCAACTGTGCACGACTGTTTTTCAAGACCGGGTCGGTTGCCGACCACAGAACTGCTTATCTTGGGCCCCTCCCTCCCTCCCCCCCCAGAGAAAACGTGGTTTGGCTCCTCCTTCCCTCTCCCCCCCCCCTTGGAAATTTTGGCCCACGCCCCCCCCCCCCCCCCGAGTCTCCTATACATCATTGTTCTGCTTATAAATGTGTTACTGAGTGTTGAGAATATTTTTGTTTTTTCCCCCCTTAATTATAATTGTAATTGGCTTTTTCCCCTTTTTTTCTCTTTATTCCTTTTCTTGTTCTCTCCCTCCCACCCCTCCTTCCCCGATGCTCTTTTCTTCCTTTTTTTTTTCCTTTTTTTTCCGGCTTTGCTCTGTGGGTTGCATGCCTCTTCCTGGTGTCTTCCCTCCATGACGTCACCATGGCTTGTTGCTGTGACTCCCGACACGCCCCCCCCACCGCGGTCCATAAACGCTCCACCCTCCTGTTTTGTTGCTTCCACTGAAAAAGTTCCCATGATGCACGGTGCTACGCCCACCACTGTTTCCGCAGCAACTACACCCGCCACCAGCGTTCCTTTCGCTGCAACAGCCAATCAGGTTTGCCCCCCTTTCGATAGCCTTTTTTTCGTGGGGGTCGGAGGGGCCAGGAGGCGGCCCATGGGCCGCGTTGGGGGGGGGGTCACGTTAGAGAGGTGGGGACGGCGAGGGTGCTGGCCAAACCCAGCTCGGTCGGGGGGGCTGTTCATGCGGAGGCCCTTGTTGAGGCCGCTGGACCGGTCTGGAAACTCTCCTGGCAGACGAGGGGTGCGCTGGGTTCCCCTAGCCTTCCTGCGCCCCCACTCTCTCTCTAGGAGCCTTGAAGGGGGAGGCCTGCGCCCCACGAAGAAGGACAGGTCCTCTGCCATGGGGCTCCAGGCCTTCTTCAGGCGGGGAGGGGGGTGAGGTGGTGGTCAGTTTTGAAGCAAGGGAGCGGGAAGTGCCAGGGATCCAGAAGCATCCCCCTTCCAGGCCAGCCTTCCCCTAACCAGGTGTGCTGGGGGGGGGCAGCTCCCAGACCAGGCAGGCTTGGAGCAGCTGTTCATTTGGGGACCCCGCTTTGTAACGGGGAAGGGGGGGCTCAAGTTGGAGGAAGAGGAGAGATTCCTGCCAGCTCATCCGTTGAGGCTGGAGTCCCTCCCTCCCTCCCTTCCCACCTCAGGAGAAGGAAACGGAGTCCAAGCAGGGCTCCCAAGAGGAAAGAGGGGGGGCTCTCCCCCAACCCCCAATTCCTTGCCTCTGTTCATATCTTTTTTAAAAAAATGCAGCGGGCTCCTTCCAACTTTTCCCAGCCGGTTGCTCTGCTCCTGGGAGGCAGGTCTTGCAATTGAAGGGGAGGGGGCGCTCCTTCCAGGCCTTTGCCGGGACAGGAAACCTAATTAACCCCCCCACCCCCCACCCCTGTGAGAGTTTACCTGAAAGAGACAAGATGCCAAGCCCCAAACTTGGGGCCATGCAAAACATATTGACGAGGAACGATCAGCCCACAACTCACAACCAGCTTTCCCGGGGTTGGGGTGGGGGTTGTGTTAAGTGCCCCCCACCCCGGCAGGCAGTCTGCCAAAATGTCTTTGTGGAAGTGAAAGGGAACAAGGGCTAAACCCGTGAAATCTCCCCCCGGTGTGTTTTCAACTCATTTAGATTGCACTTTAAGACGAGGCTTCCCACCACCACCTTCCTGGCCCCGGTTGTGCTGTGGAGCTGTGAGCAAAGCTCTCTTAATCTTTCCTGGGGAGGGAAGGAGGAGTTGAGCACCAGGGCAGAGGGAGGGGGCCTGAAATGGTGGCGGCTTCTGTACCGAATATTCCTGAAATCACCTGATGGCTCCCTTGGCACCCTCCATGCTGTGTGGCCAGGGCAGGGTTCGAAGAGGGGAAGACGTCGACTCCCAGAATCCCAGGGCCGGCTGCTGAATTCTGGGAGATGAAGTCCCCACCCCCCATCTTCAAAATTGAGAAACCGTGCATTCAAGGGGAGCTTCCTTCAAGGGTGGGGTTTGGGTCCCCCAAAGGCCCACAAGCCCCCCCCCCCCTCTTTCCAGACCCTCTAAAGGCAGCCGCTTGCGCGTGAATCCTTGAGGGCAGAGTGGCATCACGGGCATGAGGATGTCCCTGGTGGTGGTTGCAAAGGAGAGGATTGGCACCGTGACCCTCACACCCCCCACCCACCCCCCCCCCCCGGGGGTGCCTCCCCCCCCCGCCCCCCCCCCCCCCCCCCCAGCAACCTGCCTTAGAATTCCTGGTGGGAATTGGAAGCTTAGCGGGCGAGCGTTAACACCCCCACCCCTCCCCAGGCACGTTTTGATGCCCTTCCTTTCCTCTTCCGTTTTACTGCAGATCTCCCAGTTATCAGTCGATGAGCTGAACAGCAGCATGTTTGTGTCCCAGATGTAGAAGCCACACCACAGTAAGTTATGCTCCAGCGGTGTTGGCGTGACTTCTCGCCGGCCTTTGCCAAAGGGTCTCCGTTGTCACTTCTTTTCTCCCCTCTTTCCCCAGCGTCCTGTTGGCATCCCGGAGAGAGAACAGTGGCACCCGCGGTGCGTCTTGTTTCCTCTTCCCTCCTGGCAGGAAGGTGAAGTGGGCTCTCTCTCTCTCTGCTTTCGGCCCCCTGTCCTTCCTCTCCGGCATCGGCAGTAAGCCTACGGCAGCATCCATGTTAACCAAAAACTGATCTGTGGGAATGTCAAAATGATTTTTTTTAAAAAAGCACTCTATCTATATATATATATATATACAAAAGCACTATATATATATATATATATATATACACACACAAACATATATACACACAGACACAAAGATTAAGAAAGCAGTGCTCTGTTATATGAGACATAGAAGTAGAGAACTATAAAATAGACTTTTATAACACCTTACTTTAACACACTTTTTAAAAAGTGGGTTTTGGGTTTTGTTTTTGTTTTTTTCTCCTGTCTACCATCAAGGCAAAAAGTGCTCTTGCACAGTGGACTTAACTAGGTTAATTGTTCTATCGTCAATGGATAAATGTTCGTCTGTTTTTCAAAGTGTTATCTTAATGTTTTGTTTACATCCTAGTCTTATATTGACTTTATTTGGAGAGACGGAAAAAAAAGTTGTACGTCATTATCAAGTATATTCCACACCGTTTGTTTCACGATTATGATATCTTAGCATTTTCATAGATGACCATTGTTATCAATTTCCCTTTCCCTCTGCCCCTTTTTGAAACAATATGCTACAAAGGTTACAACGGGAAACAGGGAGGCCTTGCTTTAAAAAAAAAAAGGTAAATGGAAAATCTGAAGATATTCAGACGGTTGTAGGTAGATTTCTGATCAATTTCTGATTAGGTTGATTTCTAAACATTGCAAGTAATGCAAAAGAAAAAAGAAAAGAAAACCTCCCACTTGTCCAAAAACAGGCCAGAAAGTAAAATGGATGAGGGACTAAATGCTGAAGAATTTTCACTGAAGGGCAGGAAGTATTGGCAAGAGAAAAAATGTTTCGGTTTTCAGTTACTATTTTTTTCAGTATGTGGCTCTCGACTTCTTAATCCTTCAGTGACTAGATTTTAAAGAAATCATGTTGAAGATGATTCTTTTTTAAAAAAAGAAGTGGTTTTTGTTTTTTTTTGCTTTTTTACCCTCAAAATCAAAGTTAATCTGTAATATATACAGAATAAAAAGAGAAACATCCTTTCAAACATGCATAACCCAACCCTGTATCTTAGATCAGATAAGTAGCGCCAAACAGATGCCTCCGTTCTCCATTAGCTTCTTCTCTTGCCAATAATAATGTTAATTAATTAAAGGGCACTTAGAAAACCTACGCATGGACAGCGTTTCCATCTGTCAATTGCCAAAGGCCGCGTTGCTTGGAACCGCCTGTGTATTGCACCAATACATTATATCATCCCAGGTTCTTGGGAAGATCTGGGTGGATATGAAGGCCAACCCCAGCTAAAGAGCTGGCAGCTGCGATTTCACATCGCTGTGTATATAATAATAATTTCCTGGCCTCCAATCATGTAGAGAAACAAAACAAGTCTTAACAGCTTTCCCAGAAATTTTCATATTTTTTTTCTTCCTTCAAATAGGTTAACGCTTTCCTGTCCGTAAGCCACTAATTTACAATTTAGGATTTAGGGTCAGCAGGTAATTCTGGATGCATTAGCCCTCAGAGCTGGCTCATTTTAATTCGTTGAGTTTGGCATCTCCATACAAATTGTTGGGTGAAGAATCAGCTGGTGCTCAGTTCTGAAACATGAGAGTCTGTGGCCGTTTTTACTTTTGGGGGGTTAATCAAGGGTGTCCAACCTTGACCACTTTAAGACCTGTGGGCTTCAATTCCCAGAATTCTCCAACTCTCCCAGGCTGAGGAATTCTGGGAGTTAAAGTCCACAGGTTGGACACCCCTGGTGTAAGTTGAGATACGCCTTTCCAAAATTGGAACCCCATAAAATCCAGAAACAGGGACATCTTGGATGACACCCCTGATTGATGGAAACCAGCCTCTGGAAAACTAAGCCCTCTAAGTGCTACTTCAAAGGCCTCCCGAAATATTCATCCAGCCCCTTGAATTTGGCATCCTGGCCCGTCTGAATGTCCTTCGGGTTGCAGACTTCCTGTTTCCTGGCTTCGTAACCGAGTTAATGGAGGAAACCAGGATTTGAATACTCCTTAGGTGCAGATAGTTGTATATTTTAAAGATGGTGGTGGCGATGATAATGATGATATGGGATTTGCACAACCTGTGGCAGTGCCTCTACAGAAAACATCCCTGATCTCTCGTTGGGAAGATTCAGACACATTCACACACACTCACGCATTGGTCTACAAATGCCGCCGGTGTTAGCATTACACTCTTCAAGCAAGGAGGCGGAGCATCCGTCCGTCGTTCAGTGTGACGTAGATGGAGATTTGTGTAATCTTGTCACTTCGATGTAGCTCTCTCTCTCTCTCTCTCCGGTTTTCTCCGAATGATGTTGAGAAGCAAAAATATATAGAGAGGGAGAATTCTTGCGTAGATATGAACGGAGTGTAAGCCTAGCACATTTCCCACAGCATTCAGTTTCACAGCTTTTAAAAGTGCTCAGAAAACAGAACGTCAGGGGTGCAATCTCTTCGTCTTTCTTTTTTCTTTTCTCCTCCTCCTCTTTTTGTTGGGGGGGGGGGGGGGGGGGGGCAAAACGTAGGAGCCAAAAAAAGGAAAAAAGATAAGTAGGAAAGTTTTGACTCCTGGTTGTTTTTATCAAAGTGTCCTGTAACCTGTTGAGAAATGTTGCACTTCTGCAACAGACATTGAAACTGATCATATGACCACATACATGGCACGTCTCACACGCACACACACGCACACACATGCACACACACACACACTATATATATATATATGGAGATCCAGTGATAGGTGTGTCAGGGTAACTTTTCTAGGTGCCACAAGATTTTTTTTTCTTGTTTCTTAATATCAACTTTTGCAAATTTAGTGTTACATTGTAAGGGGGGGGGGGGGGGTTTTGGGGAAGAAAAACGGAAAAAAAAAAAAGCAAAGCTTGAAGCTTTGGAAACTTCACCAAATTTTAACCCGAGGGTGGGACTAGAAATGCCATTTGTGAGGGTAGCACTATTAAAAGATTGTTTGTGCAATGACTTCTTTATTCAAGAAAGAAAGAAAAAGAAAAAAAAACACAGTCGGCAGACTATAAATTCCTTAGGAGCTGCATTCTGTCTACAAAGTCGCTGAGCTATTTGGTGACTCTAAATCAAATCTCCCGAACCAGGATTCAGGTGTGAACTTGATTCCAGGGATTTTCTATAAAGATTGTTCAAATCTGTGTGAGAGTTTTAAAAAACAAAACTGGCGCAGGTGGATCCAAGCCTGTGTGTTCCTTTTTTAATTTTAATTTTAATTTATCCAAAGTTCTTTCTCTCAAAAGTATGCATGTGGTTATCGATTGGTGTACGTGTGGCCATTTTCTCTCAGCCTTATGCAAATAATATGCAAGAAATGCAGAAACTTGAATAAAACGGGTCATTGCAGAGGGAAAACGGAAAACGCTGATTGGTCGTTTTTGAGGGGGGAAATTTGTTAGCCATTCCATGAAAGAAAGAAAGGAAGGAAAAAAGAAAAGAAAAAGATATGTTCCGAAACCTTGAACGTAACATGCACAAAAACAGAGAGGGTTTTAGAAGTCGGTGGATCTGTAAAATTACGATTCTTATCTTAAAAGTACAGTGTTCTGATGGATTAGATTATTTTTTTCATAATCAACCCCATTTGGTTTGTTTGTTTTTTTACAAAAATTGTTTAGCATAAAGGGATATTTTTTTTTAATATTTTTTTTTGGTAAAGTGCTGTAATTTTTGCAATACTGTGTGAAATTCTCTCCCCACCCGCCCAGTTCCCAGAGGCAGCCTACCCCGGGATAGCATTCTGCCCTTGGGGAAAGTCTTTCTAAGCAGTTTCAGCTCCTTGCAAGAGATCAGATCCCTTGGAGTCTTGGCCTGGCCAAGGGCGCTCCGGATTCCTTCCACCCTCTTTATTTTCCAATCTGGCTAGTCAATGACTTCTGAATGACTAGAATGACTTTGCTTGGAGAGTAAACAGCTGTTGTCTGGAGCAAGATATTTGAGCCATGATGTTTTTCTCCTAGAGTTAGGCATAGGGTGGCGGGAGAGGAGTCCATGGGAGCTTGTTATCGCTAAGGAGGGTAGAAAACCTTAGAAATCAGGTTTATCCCCTCTTTTGAAGGGGTTTTGCAGAGAAGCCACGGCCACGCGAAGGGTGGGGATTTTGGTGCGATCCTATGCATGCTTACTCCCCCAAAAACCTCAGCCTTTCTCTGGCACGCTCTGCTCCCCAAGTTTTAAGGCTGCAGGCTTGTAATCCTGGCTTGTCAAAGTGACCCTTTTTACCCACTAGATCAGAGGTCTCCAAACTTGGGAGCGTTTAAGATTTGTGGACTTCAACTCCCAGAATTCCCCAGCCTGCATAGCACAGCCGGTTGGGAGTTGAAGTCCACAAATCTTAAAAGTTGCCACGGTTGGAGTCCCCTGCACTGGATCGATAGAGAAACAGAGTGATATATGTTAAATGTTGGGAAGTCTCACCGATGGGCAAAAGGCTGGCTGGCCTCCTGTTGATCTCAAACCGATTACTTAATACAGGAGCGATCTCTAGGACACGTTAATACACAAAAGTTTTTAAAACTGGAGTTTCTTCCCTTCTTCCCCCCCCCCCTTTCTTTTTTCTTTTTTAAATCCGTAATACATTTCACTGACAACTAAAAAAAAAGTGAAATATATGAGGAAAAGTCTTAAATTTCCCCTTCCTCCTGAAAGGATGTACCGAAATTATTTTTACCACGTTGCCTGATCAGGCCTTAGAATATATTGTATGTTTAAGACTGTAGTAATTTTTTTAAGGAAAAGATACCAATTATTAGTTGATAGCCTGAAAATAATTGTAAATAGAATTTAAAAGGCGTTGTTAATAGGCTACAACAAGTTAATTCATGTTGCATTACTTTCCATTTATTTTATTGTTCGTTTTAACAGATTTTATTACTGCTTTCATATATATATATTTATATATGCACACATATGTGCATGTATACATATATAAATATATAATCTTTAGTAACTAATGAATTTAATTTTTGAAGGAGAGTTAGAGAATGTTAAGATTTTTAAATACATGTATTCAACTCTTTTAGTTATGTTCTAAAAACAAAAACACTGAAGCGCATGCCAAGATAATAGAAAACAAAAATACAGTCCATAATTAGTTTGTATAGTTTACAGTTTAAGAACAAACGGAAGAATTAACTTTGTATGTAACTCCTTACAATGATAGATTCATTGTTAACTAATTATAATTAAGTTGTTGTTGCTATGGCAACAAAACTACAACATGGCTACCTTTGTATACATTATTTGTGAAATTTTCACATGTAAATTAAAAAAAAAAAGGTAATGTGTAACAGTATGGGTTTGTTTAAGGTACAGTTCAATACTGTCGGAGAAATATATGACTGAATATTTTTAAAATCCCAAAGTCCCATGTGAACGCTGGATTTGTGTCTTTGATGTCACTTTTTCAGTCAAAAGTTTACAACACATGGATTTAAAGTCAGGTTTTATAGCTTGTAGAAATTGTTGTGTGGGTTGGGTTATTCCACAGTATTTTTCTCTTGGTGATAGAAATTAGAGAGAGGGTTGCCACACTTTAGTGTTCAAAATAGTAAGTATTTTGAAAAACGGAATAACGAAATTTGGTCAACAGATTCCCAGGAAGGTCCAAACAAAATCAAGGGAACATAGTATTCTGCAAAATTGAGACCTTGCTTTCGGTTGGACTTGATATCGTTAAATCTGCATTGAATTTTGCAACAGTTGCCTTTTTTGGGGGTCCCTTTGTGAGGGATTTCCCTAATGAGAAACCAACTGATTTTCCCATCCTTGACATTTTAAAAACCATCCGTCTAAAAAAAAAATCATGTTCTCTAAGCCCATGAAATAATGATGTCCAAATTAGGACCAGGAAAGAAAGACAAATTATATTTTTATTTATAAGCAGAAAAAGGAAGAGTAAAATATGTATGACCACACACACACACACACACACCAAAAAAATACTGTGGAATAACTCTGTGACAGTGTTGAAGAAACCAATATGCTGCAGTTAAACTGATTCAGTTGGTGTACGAATGTGTGAGAGACGTTTTTTGCACTTATGTACATAGTCCACGAAAGAAATCCTTGGAACTTATTTTGAATATATTAAAAAAAAGGTCTGTAATAATACAAGGTAAAGTTTGTAAAAGAGATTACTAAGGCTTTGAAAAGGAAGAGATTTTTTGCTATAAAACTTATCTGAACGCATGAAGTTGCTTTGCTGTTCTCCAAGCTTTGTAGTTTGCCATATAGTTTGTAATACAGCGGACTGGTCACTTCAACCTGCAGCTCAGAAGGAAAACTCCATCTGGGAAACACATACTTGACTTCCAAATCAGGGTCACCCGCAAAGGTTCTTCAAGGTTCTTCTAGCCACCCCTTTGGGCCTTCCGAGAGAAGAGCCTGCTCCAAAGGGGAGCCCCCTCACCACTGGTTTGTTCAGGGCAAGATTTGGAAATGCCAGAACTGGATCTCTATCCATGCTGCCTCGCCTGCTTCACCCTTCAATCCAGATTGTGAGCCTGCCCAGGTCCAGTAGGGTCATGCTGGCTGAGGGATTCTGGGAGTTGAAGTCCACAAAGTCTTAAAAGTTGCCAAATTTGGAGACCCCTGGCCTAGAGAGTAGAGGGTCTCCTTCTAACCACCGAGGTCCTGAGAATGGCTTTGCACAGAGTATGGAGGTGGGGGAGTTGAACCCAAAAGCCAGGTCCAGTTTTGAAGACAAGGGAACCTGTGCGTAGGCTTGTCACAATCTTTGAATAGAATAGAATCACAGAGTTGGAAGGGAAACTTAGGCAGGAAACCCGACATCAGACAAATGGTTGTCCAACATCTTCTTAAAAACTTCCAGTGTTGGAGCATTCACAACTTCTGGAGGCAAGTTGTTTCACTGGTTAATTGTTCTCTTGTCAGGAAATTTCTCCTGAGTTCTAAGCTGCTTCCGAGATCGATGCCACAAGAAAATGTGCATTTTTTTTTCTGT